TGAATCAAGAAACTCAAATAAAAGGATTTTGGGTACCATGGCAAGCAAGCAGGAAGTTGTGTGGGGAAGTGAGTCTTTCTGAAACAGAAGACCCTCCTGATAGAGTGAAGAGAATTAGCCTAGGATTCCTAAATCCCAGCTCTCCCACCTGTTCACTCCAGATTTCGTTCCTTCAGGGCCTTCATTGTTATGCCTGTCTAATGGTGTCAACTTGGATGCTCACGGCTTCTTCTGGCTAAAGGAGTTATACCCCCAAACTTCACTCCTGGACTTCGGCAGCAGTGGTAGCAAGGTCTCACTCCCCATTTGGCCAGGGGCCTTGGTAAGTAGAGACAAGGTAGGATGCCCTCCAGGGCCACACATGCCCAGCACCACCAAGAACTTGTAGTTTGGAACAGAAACTGAGGGAGAAGAGGGGAAGAACCCTAAGTCCTCCATGAAAACCTGAGAGACCCCGGAGCTCACTGGCCCTAGGTGGTTCTCACAATGCCTGTCACAAGAGTGAAGTTAGGAGGAAAAATGTAGCCACCCGCTTACCCACCCACAGCCCTCAAGCCAAAAACACCTGAGGTACAGCTAGGGAGATTTAGACTCATTTGCTGCCAGGCCCAGGCTCAAAGTCCATCCCACCGGTTGAAGGGTGTCTGTAAAGGGTCAGTGATGGTACCTGATATGATTGCCCCCAAGTTGCTTGTTTAGATAGTGAATTATGTGCCAGGTGATGACCAGTACTTACCGAACCTAGGGAAGGGCTCTTTTCTTTCAAGCCAGCAAGCAGTCTTTGACCATTCTTAGACTCCTGGGGCTCCTATGATCCTCAGCCCGAAAGGAGAACCTCTACTTGGCATTAGTGGTCCCCAAAGCCTGCTAGTCTCTGAGCCTTCCTTCCCCCAACCCCAGACCTCCTCTTAGTGAACCCATGCTGTGGGCAAGAGCTCCAGCAGCTGCAGGTTCCCCACCGCCGAGGCTTCCATCCCTTTACAATGACGCTAGCTGCTTTGCTCTTGGCCCCTGCTCCAGGAAATCTTCCCAGGCTGATCAAGTTTTCTCAGCCCAGGCAGGATCTTTCTTGGGGACACTGCCACCCCACCAATCCCCAGCAGCCATCTGTAGTCATCTCCTTGCCAAGTCTTGATCTTTCTACTGGGGAACAAGCAAACTTTCTGCCAGGTCCTGAGGCAGGGCCAGCAAGGCTGGAGCAAAACAGGGGGATGGAGATGTTTCCTAGATGAGGCAGGCCTGGCACGGGGGACAACTTGACACTAAATGACAAAAGGCTGCTCTTGGGAAGAGGACAAAACCCCAGAGCAGGTCTGAGTCCGGCCTGCTATCACTTTGTCTGGTTGCAGGCCTAGAGAGTCTTCCCAGAAACTGTGCCTGTGATGAGTGACATGTTTAGGACTGCATCATCTAATACAATCCCCACTGGCGGCCACATGTGTCTCTTGAGCGCTTGAAATACAGCTCCTTCGAATAGAGAAAGTCCAGAAATGTAAAACACACCAGATTCCAAAGGTTAGTACAGAAAATAACGTAAGGCATCTCAATAATAGTTTATGTTGATGATACATAAAAATGGGTCTGTTTGGGATTGAGTTTAAGTTAAAATAAACTGTATTTGTATTCTCGTTGCAGTGGGGAGAATGAAACCCAGGGCTGTAGTTAACTGGGCAATTGTTCTACTACTGACCTGCACCTCCAACTCCAAACTTTATTATTAAAATGACTTGTTTGACATGTGACTAGCATGCTTGAATTACTAGGTTCAATATCCTGCACTGAAACAAAAGACCATTTCCGGTTACATTTTTTATGTAGTTATAGGAAAATTTGAAACTACAGATGTGGCTCACATTATGTCATTTCAATTTTACAGAGGAGGAAACAAGCTTCAGAGAGCTTGAGAGACATGTTCTACAATGTCTGCCCTAGGGTTTGTGCCCCAAAACGACAAATGCCCTCCCCAAGCCCTGCTGTGCCAGAATGTCTCATGTTCAGAGTCACCTTGCTCCCCTTCCCCTGACTTGTAACAATCAGTAGTACATTCTGTGTTTGAGGGCAGCCTCGGAGTTGGTGCTGAGACCCATGGGTGTTACAAGGTCCCCAAGATGTCCAGGTTTTGTTGTCTGACCTTCCTCTCTGTCCTTGGCCAACTCCAGCTACAACTGAAGGGCCTCTGCTACTTCAGCCCCTACCAACCTGGCAACCAGCTCTGTCTGGTCCCTTCCAGGTTCCTTGCCACCTCACCTGACAGGAACATCCTAGGGGGTGTGGATCCACGGCCAGCTTGGTCCATAGGGGATATTCCCAGGTTTCTGCAGCAGTAGTTGTAGTAGCAACCATGACATTGGGAGAAAGTTCTTTGTAACAAGAGCTCTAGGAGATGTTAGCTTCATGTCCCTATACCTGCTTTGGGATCCTGGACTTGGTTCCTCTATGAGATATTAGGGAGGGAAGCCTGTGGCCCTAGTATGGACACAGATTCAATTATGCCTGTGCCCTACATGGGCCTGGGTCTCTGAAGCCCACCCTGACCATCCAGGAAAGGCTTCTCTGGCTCTTGTGAGCAAGCAGAACCTATCTTGTATCCTTGAAATGCACCAAGGATCTTGTTCTGGATGAAGAGTCAAGACCTAGTAATAGGTCCCTGGAGGCCAGGTTTGCTGGAGGCATTTGGAATCCAGCTGGGCCATCCCATTTGGATATAAAAGGGTCAGATTTTAGGCTGTGATTATAACATAAGGAGGCCACATTGGGTTTTTTAATAGTTTTAAATTTGAAAAATGAATTAAGAGAAAGGACTCGTGGAGTGAGAATTCTTGGCAGCCTTAGGATAATTACAAAACCAGCTCCAATTTTCCAGGTTCTTCAGAGTGCCAGGCCTGAGGTGCCACAATCCCCAGAAGGGCTGGACAAGGTCTCAGGCACACCCATCAGAATTCAGCCATCCTGCCACCTCCAGAAGGCCACCAGCATGCCTCCTTACATTCAGGTGCCCTGGTGTATCGCAAGAGAGAGGTCAGACAGATCCATTCCAACCCTTGCTCTGCCACTGTCTTCATAACCTCGTCTATAAAATGCGGGTAATGGGAATTCTCAGACAGTAGGGAGGTGGCTGGACCTGTGCTCCGGGCCTTTTCTCACAGTTCATATTATTAGCTTACTTCCCTTTTGCCAAAGCCACCTGCACCTAACTGGGGAAAAGGTGCCTCCAGGCACCCACATACACACCCTTTGCTCCTGAAACCCAGAGAAAGAAGCCAGCCTGAAGTCGGGGGCACAGCTGTGCCTGGCCCTGTGTCAGGCAGCGACTACTGAGGGCCCCCCCTTTCCTGTCCTCCCAACCCCACACCCCTGCCGGAGGCGGATGTGCCCTGAGCTTGGGAAGAGGAGGTGCAACAGAGTAAACTCCACTCTTCTTTTTCTTTCTGCTCTCTGTCCCTCCCTTTCTCTCTTTCTTCTTCCCCTCTCTCCTTCTCTGTTTCTTTTAATAGTATTGTGGACTGACCCTAGGGCCTCCTGCATGCTAGGTAAGTACTAGATCTAAGCTACACCTCCAGCCCTGTTTTTACTTTTATTTTTTATTTATTCTCTGGAAATGTCATACACGTATACAATGTATTTTGATCTTATCCACATCCTACTACCTCCCTCCAGTTCCCCCTGAGACCCACCAGACCATCTCACTCCCAACTCCATGTCACTTTCATTAATAGCCCACCAGGTCCCATTAATGTTGACCGCGTGAGACTGGATGTAGAGCCATGACTGGATCATAAGCAACCTATCAGTAACCACATCCCCCAAAGAAAAGTGACTCCCTCTCTCACCAGCCAACAGCTGCCTATAGCTCCTCAGAGAGGGATGGAACCTGGGGGCCCTCTCTCCTCCTTTTGCTTTCTGTTTTGAGACAGTCTCCTGGGTTGCCAGACTGCCTCTGACTCTGCCGTCCAGGCAGATCTTGAACTCACTGTTCTGCTTCAGCCTCCAAAGTTGCTGGGACTCCTCGCCTACCCCCACCAGGCCTGGCAAGCTCCCTTCTAGCCTTCCAGAACTCAAAGTTAGAGGCCCCAGGCCCAGAGGTACCCTGGGACCAGAAGCGCCTGTCTAGTATAATGAAAGTGACGGGAGCGAGGGATGTCGAGAACAGGTGCCCTATCATCAGCTCTGCTCTCAGGCAGTATCCTTCCCCCCAGGGCCTCCCCAGCTGTCCCTCCCCACCTGTGACCAAACACGCACTTTTGCCGCACAGGTCACTATCCCGTGTCCCCAGCCCTTTATTCCTCAGTCCTTCCACTGTCTGCTGCTGTCCAGCTGCCTCAGTGGGTCACAATGCTCACCGAGATGCTAAACCCCAATGTGAGCAGTCACCGGAACTCCCTGGTCTGGGACTGGAAGAGAAGGAAATACTTCTGGTGTAAATTTAAGGGGACACTCATTTTCAGGTTTTGGAAAATACAAAGTTTAGGCCTAGATTTTGTGCCACTTTGCATTTTCCTTCCAGGCCTGGCAAATATGGGCAGCTAACACAATCAATTTCTCTTAGGATTCTGTCCCACCCTCTGAGGCATTCTCTGGGGGGCATTCTCTGATCTCTTCTTTCTCACCTGTCCTCTGCTGTTCTCTTTCTCCTTGCTACTGGCCACTACTTCTTCCTCTCACACTATGGGAATCTGTTCCGTTTGTACACCTGTCACTGCTGATGGCTCCTCCGTAATCCAGGCCCTCCCTCCCCGCAAACCCTTGCCCTATGGGTCAGCCCTACAGTCACATTAGGCTCTTACCTGGGAACTTCACACCTGCTCTGTCCTCTACCTCAACCATGCTGTCCCTCCTTTCTGCCTTGGCACACTGGCTAGAATTACATTTCTTCACCCAAAGAGAGAGCCTCTCCTTCCTTCTGCCCCCACAGCGACTGCTCAGGGCCAGTCCCTCCTTGACTCGCTACCATTGGCTTCCCACAGCCCAGAGCAGCACTGGACAGAACATAGATACTCAGGTGGACTTTGTTCCATGAATAAATGAATTTATTTGTTAGTACATGAATGGGTTGTTATGTAGGTGGCTTTGGTGGCTGGGTAAGGACAAAGGGAGAAAGTATATAAGCTATAGCCAGGGCCTGCCCGTGGCAGCAGGTGGCTGGAGGAGGCCACATCACCTCCAGCATCTGGGTGCTGTTTCAATGGCCTGGCAGTGAGGTGCATGTATGGCAGAGGCCTGCAAAAGAGGTAATGCAGAGTGGGCAGCTCTGCCCACCTCTAATTATTGCTTGAGTCTTTATGGCAGAGACAGCTGCCTACCCCAGGGAGCAGTGTCTTGGCCATCACAGTGTGAGCTCCAGTTGGGGCTGCCGACACAGCCAGCAGGGAAGACAAGAGGATGTTCCCAGGGGTCTTTGGGTCTTGGGGAGCAGAGGCGACCCAGGCTTGGACCCCTGCTCAGTTCCTGTTCTTTTGGCCCCCCAGAGCAGCAGAAGGGTACCCCCAACTCAAGAGTCTCATCAAGAACCCTCCAATGTGGCTAAGGAGCGAGCCAGCTGAAGGAGGGCCCAGAGCACCCTCAGGGAGCGAGCCTCAGATGGTTTGGTGTCCGCTGACATGGAAGCCCTTGGGAAGATGGTGCCCCAGTGGCTGGCTGGGCAGGTGGGAAGCTCAGGCCTGGAAGGATGCTTTGACCACTCGGCCCTTCAGCGGCTGTGGTGGCCGGAAGTTGTTCACCATGTGGATCCTCTCATCATCCTCTGAGGTGAAAAGCAAGCTCCGAAATTTCTCCATCTTAAGACAAAAAGGATGGTCAGGGCAGGGATGGGTGCTCTTTTCCTCTCTAGTCCCAGATGCTGCTCAGGGAGCTCTACCCTTCTGTTTCTCCTGTGTGGCTTCACTCTCCCTACCCTCAGTTGTCTGTTTCCACTGGGCCCCTGAACATGGAACTAGAAGGCTAGGTCCAGTCCTGTCTAGCTGAGGCATTTGGGCAATTGCAACTTCCTGACTGCAACACACTAAGAGTGATCCCAGGATCAGGCCTCTTCCCTTCTCGCCATGGCTGGGACCTCAGGACTAGCAACCAAGCTTACATCAATCAAAGAATCTTTGGTTTGGTCGTCAAAGATGGGAGTCAAATGGCAGGGCCCAGACCACATCCTGCTGGTTGGAAGTTACCCTGCCATGGTTGAAATCTGATTGTTCTTACTCCTGGAACTCTGGGAGAACTCACCTGCCTCTCAGAAATTCTGATGGGCTCCCGGAGCACAATCCAAGTAACACTCTCACTGAGCGGGGGTGTGGTCAGAGAGCCAGGATAGGTCCAGTAGTGCCGGCTGGTGGGCAGGAGGCACTTGGGGTTGAAGTAGTTGAACTGAGCCTTGGTATCCTGTGCAGGATGGGAACCCAGGAATTAACACAGAGCTCCTACCGAGATCAACCCAGCAGCTTCCTTGCTTGATGCTGTCGGCAGGATTTGGGCCCGTCCTTTGACATGATGATGCAAATTGTGGGCAAATATCTGTGACCCCAAATGCCACCTCCCAGCCAGGGCCAGGCCCTCTTGTTTGCTTACATGTAAAAGCTGTGGCTCTGGGGGCTCTCGAGTCATCATTTTCATACCCATGCCTTTGGATGCCCTCGCTGGGGCTATGCAGCAGACCACCATCCATATGACCAGTACTTTATACATACCCTACCAGGTTGTATGCTAGGCACCCATGGGTGGTGAAGAGGACCCTCATCCTGGGTCTCAGCCAGAGGTGCTGCCAGAATGCAAAAGTGAATGGGCCACTCCATGAGCCAGTCTTACCCATCCTCTCTCCCCAGCTGGCCGCTCTAGAAAGGAACAGCAACCCCTGGTCTCACCTTAAACCGAACCATGTAGAGTGCATCTGTCAGGCGGTTCATGCTGGGGTGCTCATCTCCTGTCTGTCAGGGAGAGGACAGTATGAGCCTCCAATGCCTTCGTTCTAAAACTAAGGGTACATGAGCCTTGCTTGCATACCCTTCCCTGCCCTGGGAATCCTCCACCTACCTCCAGGAAGACACCAACTACAGCCAGGCCATCAGGGGCTGCAGCTGCCTCCCCGAAAGTGCTGTACTTCTTGGCATTCCAGTGAACCAGATGTAGCTGGAGAGGCAAAAACAAGCCAGGCCAGGCCAGGGCTGAGTGCCTCCAGAAGCAGCAGAGGCATGAAATCAGTTTCCCCTTGCTCCCTCTGAAAGAGGTGGGGGCTGCAAGCCTCCTAATCTCAGGATCCTAGGGGGCCCCAGAGAACAAAGGTAGCATCCATCCCTGTCTGGGTCCTTCCTAAAACTCCAAGATGTGTTCAGGAGTGTGGACAGCATGCAGATGGGAAGGGGTCTCTCCCAAAAGCCATAGGTGCACTTACACATGCTCTCCAGAGCCCTTGCCCCAGGCATCCTTGAGCCCCACACTGTCCCATACACACACACCCCTCCCTCAAGTAGCAGAGAGATGCAGCAAAAAAGACCTCACCTCACTGGGGAAGGACTTGCCATCCACCGTGTGCTCTGAGCCCACATCATGCTTCTTGCCCCAGTGGAAGTGGAGCTGCTTGAGACGATAGGGCCCTTCCAGGGGTCCCCCAGTCACCACTGTGGGTAGAAGTGGGATGTGGCAGTCCATATGGGAGAACACTCAACTTGGTGAGTGGTAGTGCCAGGACCCAGGCAGTCCACTAGGGATTTTGTGTGTGTGTGTGTGTGTGTGTGTGTGTGTGTGTGTGTGTGTGTGTGTGTGACATTGAGGATCAAACTCAGAACTTTATGCATGTTAGAGAAGCACTTTATGGATGAGCTACATCTCCAACCAAGGGCTCCATACTTTATCTATTTTGACCATGTTGGAGATTGAACCTAGGGCCTCAAATATGCTAGGCAAACACTCTACCACTGAGCTCTATCTCTGACCCTTTTTGGACATTTTTGTTTTACGTAGAGTCTTGCTAAGTTTCTAGGCTCAATTTGAACTTATTATTGTCCTGCCTCAGCCTCCAGAGTAGCTAAGGTTACAGGCCTATACCACCAAGCCTGGTTAGGGGCTATAGTTTTCATGTGGAAAACCTGCTGGATAGGACACGGATCTGTCCCAACAATTCCTACAGTCTGACCCCCAATCTGGGTCAAGGCAGAAGGCATGACAACCTACTGGGTAGCTGTTCTGATAGAAGGGGGATTTGCACTGGTCGTTCCTCCCAGCTCCTGCCAGATTTCCTGTAGCCTAGGCTCCTGCCTCTCAGATTCTTTGTTCCCACTAACAATAGGCCTCCCATGTCCAGACCCAAGGCTGAGTTGGAACAATTATTTTGTCTGTTATCTTAGTAGCTCAGGAGGGACAGAATTTATTTATTTTTGGATGAATTTTATCTTACTTTTATTATTTATTTATTGTGGGTTTTTTTTTTTTTGTTTTTTGTTTTTGTTGTTGTTTTGGTTTTTTTTTTTGGAGACAAGGTCTCACTGTGTAGCTCTGGCTGGCCTATAACTCACTGTGTAGAGTAGACTGGCTTTGAACTCACAGAAATCAGCTTGCCTCTGCCTCTGAGTACTGGCTTTCCAGGAGAATGTCACTGTGCCTGGTGGGTCCTATTTTATAAAGAAGGAAAATGGGGCAAGATTACAAGGCGAGGCGCTGAGCTATTGTGCAAGCCCATAGCTTCTGTGTCCTAAAGTCCTGACCGCAAACCAGGTCGCATGGCTTCCCCACAAGCTGGCCCCTTGCCAGATCATGGTGTTGCCTTGGAACAGGAGGCCAGCCCCTGAGACAGTCTCAGGGCCTCCCAGGGCCATCCCCTGTACAAATGGCCTCTTTGGAGGGCCCCAGCCATGCTGATTTTGTGATGTTCTCACCTTGGTAGCTGGTGATCTAGGGCTACCCAGAAGGCCTCTTGAGACCGATAGAATTTCCAGCTGAAAAGAGATCTGTTGGTGGAGAGGCCCTAGCTAGGCCTGAATGTGAGCTCCTAGATCAAGTGACAGCTCTAAGTTCAGAGTTCTACCAGGCCCCTTCCTGATGGGTGATCAGGACAAAATCCAGGGGCCCATCTCTGCTGCCCTGCCTTGTTTCAGAAACAGGCCGTCTAGGGCCGTAGTACAGGTTGAATAAAAAAGAGTCAGGGCTGGGTGGCTCTCCACAGAATCCTAGGCTGTCTGCAGTTGGGAGACTTCTGGGTCCATCTGCAGTGTTCCTCTCCTAGCACCCTACAGGATGGTGCCAGGGGGGCATCTTCTCCTCACTCTATCTAGTTGCAGATACCCTGTTCACTCTGAACTCTCTATGCACTTTGGTGCTCTGTGGATATCAGCCCACTTGACCTCCAGAGTAACCTACAATGGGTGGTGGCGAGTCCCATCTGTCTTCCTCTTTCCACTGGCTCCCTGGCTCCTTAGGCCTGACAGGGAAGTGGAGCCCCAGCTAGGCCTCTCATGAGAGCCTTCAGACCAGTTATACAGATACTCACTAAAGATTGTTGCCTACGGTCTCTACCTAGGAATTTATCTCTGAAGCCTGGACTCTGGTCCTAAGGCAAAGAGGCAGTTGGAGTTGAACCTTTGAAGGCTGTTCAAAGGGACAGCCATGAAGACTGCTCCTCTATAAACTGTCACCCAGGTCATCTAAGTCCCATGTTGCCTTTCTAAGGTTCTGGATAAAAGACTTTCCTTAGAATTCAAAACAAGGTAATATGTTGCCTCTCTTTTCTAAGGCTCTGCTAGGCTTATTTCTGCAGGAAAAACTATAGCTGAATCTATTTCTCTTTTTTTCTTTCTTTTAACTATCCTCCCAAGGAACTTAGAGCTAAGCAATTAATCTCTCTCTTTCTATGAAAGGTGGGGCTTTCTTTTCTCTTGATTTTCTTGTTGACAGATAAAGTCTCTTGAGTGCTTTCATTGAGCAGGGGGTAGGAAGAAGTAAAGCAAAACAACCAATATTTCCTTATATTAAAAAAAAAAAAAAACCTAACAGGTTCTCTTCTTACCCCACTCTCTCCCTCAGAGACCTTGGGATGAGAACAAAATTTCTTCACTATAGAATATTCTTAAGGCCTCTGTCAGGGAACTTATCTTGAAATATTGGACTCTAGTCCTAAGGCAAAGAGGCCTAGGAAGGCACTGGCACAATTTCCTGCAGGCCTCACTCTGGTCCATGATGGTGAGGACCTTGAGGGTCATGGATGAGTTGGACAGACCTATAAAGCTGGAGCAGGTATGATCTGGACTACAAACTGCTCCTCCATAAACGGTCATCTTGACCCCTTGTCCTGTGCCAGGGGCTCTGTGTGAGGCTGTTTCTGAGGGTTGATATGAAGGGGTTCTTTGCCTTCTGCTCCTGGAGGTCTCCTAGGCTTTCTCCCTTCTGAAGCAAGGACAGAGGCTTACTAAGCATTCGATAACACATCTGATGGTGGGGGGGGGGTTAGACTGGGTCACTACCTCAGGCTGGCCTTGAACTCACTATGTAGCCAAGGATAACCTTGAACTTCTATCCTCCTGCCTCCAGCTCCAGAGTTCTAGTATGACAAGTGTGTAGCACTGAGATGCAGGGATTCAAACCCAGGGCCTTGTGCATTCTAGGCAAGCACTGTACCAACTGAGCTGTATCCCCAGCCCCAGATGTGTTGAGCCAAGGACTTGTGCATGCTGGGTAAGTGCTCTTACCACTGAGCTATGGCAATGGGTTCTTGGTAAGACTAAATAATGAGAAGTGACCTGAATTCATTCTTTTTTCTTTTTTTGTTTTTATTTGAGATGGGGTTTCTCCATGTAGCCCTGGCTGTCCTGAAACTCACTCTGAAGTGGACCAAGCTGGTCTCAAACTCAGAGATCTGCCTGCCTCTGTCTCCCAAGGGCTGAGATTAAAGGCGTGCACCACCACCACCACCACCACCACCACCACCGGTCTGAGGCTAGCCTGGCACACAGAACACCTCAATCTCCTCCTCTTCCTTTGGGAGCCTGGCCTGATCACAAGGAAGAGGGCTTGGCCCTAGGCCACAAGCAGGTCAGTGAGAGGCTGGGAGTGAAAACAAACATGATTTGGAGCTCTGAGAGGAAGGAGAGGAAGGGAGTTAACATTTCTTGAGCATCTGTTTTATGCAGAACTACAATCATCACATCGGGGTTTTTTCACTGCCCCCTCTATGACCCTAGAGAATACTATTGCTCCATTTTATGCAACAAGAGTCGGGGACTGAGCTCTAGGCTTCACCACAGCAGGTAAGAGGTAGAGTTTAGATTCCCTACCATAGCAAACTGCCCCTCCTAAGATTGCCCCACCCATGGTGAGGGCATGAAGGGGACAAGGCCACTTACCAGTTTTGTCATCGCTGTCATTGAAGTCCACCTGGACAGAGTGGCCATTGTTGGTGATGCTGAGGGACATGCAGGCCTCATAGAAAAGCTCCAGTGGCTGCAGGCTGGGCGAATATACAGCCTGGCTGGATACGATGTTGATGGGTGACTGGCGATCTCCCTGGGCAATGGGATACAGCTTGTGCCAGTTTGAAGGGCCTATAGGTAGGTAGGGAAGGGTCATGGACTCGGGCCAGCCAAGCTGTGGGCTGAGGGTTGCTCTGGGGGTGGGGAGGGACACAAGCCCTGAGTTCTAATCCCGCCTCTGCCACTTCTTGATTCACTTTCCTTTTCCTTGGCTGGGAATCAGCCTCCAAATCCCTCCCATTCCTTTCCCTGGCACTGATAGGAGCCCAGAGAAGCACTGGAGGGCAGGGAGCATAACCCAGCCACAACCCAGAGGTGGTTCCAGATAGTAAATACGCCCAACCCCAGCAAACACTCAGGGAGGCCCTTGGGGATCTGAAGCCACTCTACTCTACCTGACCCGACCAGGAATTTAGCCTCTTCCTATACCCTGAGGAACTTAGTGCAAACTTGGCACTTGGAAGAAAAACTCAGATCAACCTGGCTTTCTGGAGGTGACATGTTTTCTCCTTACAACCACAACTTTATGAGGTAGAAACCAGCATGATGCTCATGCCATAGATGAGAAACTGAAGGTCAGTCATGCATGCTCACACATGCACACATGCACTAGTAGAAACACGTAGTATATGCATGGACTGCCTTTTCCTGCCTTCCCCAAACATGTGCTGACAGGTCCATGTAGGTCCTCCTATGTACATGCATGTATGCATGAAATATGCAGTGACCTGAACTCACCAGGTCAAGAAGGTCCGAGCTCTCCCTGCCCACCAGCCCTGCTGATTACATCTGACACATACACATATGCATCCTCATACATAAACACCTCCTATTGGAATCCCAATGAAAGGACCACAGCAGAACACATACCCATGCACACATACACCCAAGAGTGCACACACACACACACACACACACACACACACACACACACACACACACATACACCTGCATGCACACCCACAGGCACCCACCACCTGCCTCCCAGAGGCTCCATCTGCAGTGGGGAGGCTCAGCATCTCCCTGGGGAACATCCTGAGATGCAGCCTATTTTTAGAGCTACTGCCGGCTGGTGCTTCTCCCCCTTTTTGGCTTCTTAAGTTTTCCCGAGAAAACAGCAGCAGGTGCCGACAGAGCTGTGTCCCCAATGGATGACTCAGAATGGTAGCCCAGCCCTACTGGGTTATTTTTGAAGCCCTGTGAGCGCTGCCGCATTTGGGCACCTCTGTCCTCTGTCCTTCCCTTCCCTGAGCTGGACCGCCCAGGTCTGACTGGGTGAGGGGTAGGTACGTGAAGATGACAAGCTGTCCAGGGTGCTCGAGGCACAGAGCTAGAGGACAGGGCTAGCAGGAAGGTTAGGAACAGGGCACTGGGACTATGGGGGTGGTGGTGGGGGGAGGGCACTTAAAAGCAGATCCAATGCATGCAGGGGAGAAGATGGTCTTTTATCAACCTGGCTTTTCTCCGCCTCTCTCTCCATCTCTGCCTGTCTCTGTCACCTTCTTTTACCCTGAATGTCTCTGTCCAGTCTAGTATGTCCAAATCTGAGGTTCCCCTGCCAAAACATGATCCTTTGTTTTTGGGGGGTCCCAAAGAGGACAGAACGGCAACAACTACGGGATCCCCTCTGGTTAATTGCAACTTCCTAACCCAGACAATAGTCCAGGACGTTCACTCTCTCTCACAAAGTGACTATCCCCGGAAAAAGTGGAACCGGAGGAACAGTACCCCCTCCAGCACTTGCTCCCAGCTCCACTTGCCCTGCCTGGGTTCCCCTCCTGACAGCCACGATCCTGGGTGATCAGCCTTCTCTGGGAAATGGAGAAGCCTTTGCTTGTCCCACACCCTATCTCTTTTTGGCAAGAAACACACCCAAAGGGAGCTGACCTGCCCCAGACCCACACTCAAGCTGTCTGGCTCACTAGCCTCTTCCATCCTCCCTCTTCACGCTAAGGAAACTGAGGCAGAATGGAGGAGCAGTCCTCCTGGCTAGACCCGGTACCCATGGCCTCACTCATTGAAGACGCGCTGAAACATTCTACCCGGTATAGACACCCAGACGTTCCCGTGTGTCCCCAAGTGCCCTCCCTCTTTCCTCGCGTACCAGCCTGCACCGCAGCTCGGACACTCCAGCGGAAACTCTCTCGCGGGGACATAGAACCCAGTTCCCGGGAGGTCCCTGCATACCCGCTGTGCGCGCTCCCCGCAATGACACCCGCGCATAGCGCTGCGACGCGGCCACCACCACCCCCGCTCCCGTCGCCCGGAGCCACCTGCAAACGCTGCGCACGCCGGGGGAGAGAGAGAGTGTGGGGTCGGGTGGGAGCCGGCGCTGCAGTCCCGCGCTGCGCGGAGGCGGCGGCAGGGCGCGCTCAGCAATCCAGTGGTTCGCTGGCGGGCCCGGGGCGCAGCGCGGACTTTGCGCCAGGTCAGAGGAAGCAAGGCGGGGGTCGGGTTCTGGGGACTGTACAAGAGAGAGGTCCGGGTGGGTTCTGAAGCGTGGGGTTTGAGGGTTCCGAAAACCTGGTCGGAAGCGCGGGTTGCAGCGAGCCCAGCTGGGTGAGAACCAGGGGTCTGCGCCTACCGTCGTCCTGGCCGTAGCCCCAACAGTGGTGGCCGGTCATGCCGCTGCTGTCCCCGCGGCGGTGTACCTGCCGGATCCGCTCCGTCCGCTCGCTCCCTCTGTGGCTCCGGCCCCGCTTGCTGCGGTGGAGCAGCCTCTTAAAGTGGCGGCAGGCGGGAGGAGCGGTTCCCCAGGGACCCGCCCCCCACCCCCCAACAATGCAGGAGAGGCTGGTCCTGCCCTGCCCCCACCCGCCCGCTGGCCGGTGAAGTCCCAAGTCGAGGTAGGAGGTCAAGAAGAGATAAGCCTATTCCTCATTTCTTATCGGCCGAGTCCCCACCACCCTCTTTCCTTACTGCCAGCACGTGTATGAACTCTGGGAAAGGAGATACCATCCATGCTGAGGACGACAGGACTTCACGCTGCATCCTCCACCCCAGGCTTGTCCCTGAGCAGTCAGCACCTGGGGTTTGGCCCCCCAAAGCCCCTGGAGTGGAAAAGAACATTGCACTGACCAGCAAGTGTCCAGAACTGAAGCTTGGACCTGTTTTCCAGATGCTATGGGGGGGTCTGTGTCAAGCTTTAGGTCCTTCCTGTGCTACAGACACCTCGACAAGCCACAGTGCTTACACTGCTGCTGTATAACAGTAGGGGACTGAGGTCGGCATAGGTGGGATGACTCACCCAAGGTCATCTAGCTAGAGCACCAGGGATTTATTCTCAGCGTGTCTCATTTCAGATCCTATGAGGACAAGGGGATGCTGAGGCTATGAAGGTCTAGGCATCTTGGAGTAGATGTGAGGGATAGGCACAGGGTTGCCAGTCCTCAAACCCTTGGCCCAAGGGCAATTAGAGCCCTGAAGTAGAAGTAGGAAGGCATCAACCAGTGGCCTGGGAGGAAGCTAGACCCACTGAAGACATTATGGTAGAATCAAGTATGAAGTCCTGCCTCCCAGGCTCCCTCTTAGTCTCTGAGGCTTCCTTCCTTCGTGGACTTTCTGCCTATGTTTCTAAAGTCTGCCGTTTGTCCCTCCTGTCTTTGCCTCTCCATAGCCATCCATGCACCTGTTGGGCATTTAGGCCCTCCCCTTTGTTGTCAAGGTACCAGAATACCTGCCTTGGCCCAACATTTCCCCACCCTCCAGCCCTGGTCCTGGCTGTGCCCTCCTCCTGGTATGACTTCTGTCTTCCACCCACGGACTCCAGTAGGTCCAATCTGATTCATCTTAGCGTGTGGCCTTGTGCCAAAGATAGGACTTGTTTCTGGCTAGGCCTCAGCAGGCAGTGTGGGGAAGAGAAACAGATGGGTGGATGGAAGGACAGACATAGTCGTACCCAGGGTCCTATGCCCAAGAGGAACTGATGAACCATCTGTAGAATCTCTCTGCTGGTCAGATGTTGACCAGGGGATACTACTCTAGTTTCTGCTCTTGGTTGACCTTGGGAAGTATGTTGCCTGAGAACTCATCTATCTACACCCCCCCCCCACACATGTCTTACACTGCCTCAATTCCTTCTTCCAGTTCCCCAGATAAAGATGTTTCATTGATGGATAGCTAGTCAACCGGGCTGACTTCAGTGATTTGCTAATCCTGTAAAGTTGCCCTGCTTTAACCCAAGAGCAGGAAGGGGCTCTCAGTACAGATCTGACCTCAGGGTAGGGGTCGAAGACTCATGTTCCAGATGAAGGTGGGAGGGGCATGTCTCCAAGATCAGCAACCACAGAGAGTCCATTAATATTTGTTTGTTTGTTTGAGACAGGGTTTCTCTGTGTAGCCCCGGCTGTCCTAGAACTGGCTCTGTAGACTTGAACTTAAAGATCTGCCTGCCTCTGCCTCCTGAGTGCTAGGGTTAAAGGTGTGCACCACCACACCTGGCAATTTCAACATTATTGAAGCTCTAGCTTCTAACACCACCTACAGATTGGCAAGACAGTGGCTTTCACGGGAGGTATAGCATCCTGTCTCCTAACGTGACCAGATACCCTTCCCCTGAAAGACTTACAATGCCCTTCAGGATCTATGGATGGTACAGACTCTATTGACCCCTCCACTTCACAGCAGTTGAGGCTTTTTCTATATGTATTTATAATACTTAAAGAATGAAGTTGGGTGGCTGGATGGCTCAGTGGTTAAGAGCACTTGCTGTGCTTGCAGAGGACAAGTTCCCAGAACCCACAACTGTCTCTAACTCACATTCCAGGTGATCCAACTCCCTCTTCTGACTCTTACAGGCACCAGTCATGCAAGTGTATACACACACATATTTGAAGGTAAACTATTCATACACATAATAGGAAATGAGATAAAATAGTCTTTAGAAAGAATAAAATGGGGGGCGGGGCTAGAGAAATAAGTCAGTGGTTAAGAGCACTTTGTGGCTCTTGCAAAGAACCCGGGTTTGATTCCTCGCACTCACACGGCAGCTCACAACAGTCTGCAACTCCAGTTCCAAGGGGATCTGATGCCCTCTTCTCCCTTCCTCAGGCACCAGGCGTGCAAGTGGTACACAAACATACGTGCAGGCAAAACACTCATACACATAAATAAAATAAATGCTAAAAAAATGAATAAAACTGGGATGCTTCACATTGATATGTTTCCAGCATCACCCAGATAGTAACTCAGGGGAGACTTTTTGCTCCATTTTACAGATGAGCATAGCAAAACTCAGAGAGGTTGAGTGATGGGCCAAAAGTTCACAGTGAATGACAGAGCAAAGATGAAAATCAGGCTGTTGGGTTCCTCATTCAAGCCCTTAAAATCACAGCAAGGAGAGGAAGTGGATTCTACATTTGTTTCTCATTTGTATAGACATATGCAAGGGGTTAAGGAAAGCAAGGGAGAATGTTGTATAGATTCGAGGGAGGAGACTGGAGATGGAAGGGTGGAGAGGATACAAAATGCAGGTGGAAAGTCACTTTACTAACTAGTCCTTTGCACTTACAAGGATTAGAGTACACACAGCATACTACACCAAGTGAAAGATCCAAATGCTTTCTCTCCTGCAAGTCATTCTCAGGAATTTCCCCCTAGTTCTGGGAATTTAGACAAATACAAAGATCCAGTGACACCTGCCTTTCCAAGTGAAGGCCCAGTGGCCCCTGCAGCCCACTCAGGTCAGCCTGGGGGAGACTGTGCCCCATTCAGACGCCTCCAGTTTCATTTACATGCTCTCTTTAAAGCCGAATTGGTTTCCCTGTTTGAGAGTTTACTCTTTGGTCTCAAAGACAGCAATGGCTTCTGGTTTTCACTATGGTGCAGGGGATAAAGGATGTGGGAATATGAGAAAGGGCTGAATTAAGAGAGTGTGGGCATCTTGAAAAGCCATGCCTCACTTATCACACACCAGATCTCACTTTCCTTCTCCAAAGTACAGTGTTTTTACTCTAGAAGAGAGTGACAGGGTTGCCCTGGCCTCCCCCATCTTCCAGGGATCTCTGTGGACATACATTGAAACAACAGATGCCCAATGCAGCGCCAAGATGCAGAATAATGCCTCCATCTCACTCTTTGCTTTACAGGGCTTGTGGGCCAGTCTTGAGTCTTTACTTTTAGTACTAAAAAGAATTTCTTGGATTTGATCCATAGCAACACACACACACACACACACACACACACACACACACACCACATACAGTCCCACATCAAGTATGAGTGTATGTATGTATGTATATATATATGGTGCGAAGTAATGGGCTTGGATTGTAGGCACAGATAAACCATGTAGATGTTGTTTATGCTCCCAGGAGCACAGGCTTTGTGACCTGGAGCAAATAGCGTCACCTCTTTGAGTCTGAATTTACATTTGCTTTATTTATTATTTTATAATACAGGAATAGAGCGCCTAGTAGGCCAAAAGATGGTCAGATGAGATATTAACTGTGACTTCTGGTACCCAGGATGCAATTCTCTGTTCCTAGGATTTCTACCCTTTCCCCTTTTGCGTAGTTTGTTGGAAAATGTAAAACCCCAAACATTTTTTTTCAAATCACAGAGACACATCTCCACTGCAGAAACTTTGTTAGACTCAGGAAAACACATGTAAGAAAATTGAAATCGCTGTGCTGTCTCTCCCCAAGCATCACCACAGCTAAGACTGTAGTGACTCTCAGGCCAGGCTTTTCTATTATGCATAAACAATCAAGATTATATATATATATATCCTTATCACCAGCCTTTTCACTTACTGCCCTAAGTAAGCATGTGCCTGCTCGATTAGCCTTGGAGAACTTCATGCTGACTCTTCATACATTGATCTGGTATACCTTCCAGTTTTCAAAACTGCAAATAATATTGCACTGAACATCCTTACTCATTCATCTTGTGTGTGTGTGTGTGTGTGTGTGTGTGTGTGTGTGTGTGTGTGTGTGTGTGATGACTCCTTAGGATAAATGTTGAGAAATAAAATTACCAGGTTAAATGATAGACATATTACCAAGTATCCTTTTAAATGAGTTATTATTGTGTGTGTGCTATGTGTGTGAGAATGCTTTTGGGCATGTGCCATGGCATGTATGTGGAGGTCAGAGGACAACTTTTGGGAGTCAGTTCTCTCCTTCTACTGTTGGTTCTGGGGATCCGCTTCAGGTCACAAGGCTTGGAAAGCACTTTTACCTGCTGAGCCATCTTGCCAATGAAAGTAAGTATTTTATGTATATTTATTTATTCTGTTTTTTTATGTATGTGTGTATG